GAATCATTTACAGTAACGAAAGAAGCCGTCAATCGCGCTTTCGACTCAGCTCTGAAGATGACGAATGCTTACCTCAAGGGAGAATATGTGGACAAGAGTCTCGACACGCACTACCAGGAGCATAAATTCAAACCGTCTGACATTGTGAGGCAGGGCGATTCCGAGATCAAAATTCGGAGAGGTAAATTCTGGATAATAATTGGACTCCCGTCCCGCTTGATGTGGTTCAGATTCCTGGTTAGTAGTTGAGAGACGTTGAGGTTTCCCTACCGCAGGCGGTCGCTACCACATCGAGGTATTTCTGGCGATGAAGGCCAGTAGGATATCGATCACTTCAAGTCCGTCTCAGCAAGCCTCTTGTAGAGTGTTGGGGGTTTTGATGCGAACGAGCTCAACCGTGGCGAGCTCGAGAATCGTGTCGCTGAAAGTCCAGCCGTCTGATCGAGCGCTTTCCGTGGAGTGCGTATGGGACGATTCCTTCAATCCAGAAAAACGAGCAGAAGAACTCGACTCGATCAAGAAATTGACCTTTGAATACATCCTGAGTTACAAGGCGCATAGAGTGGAAGCTTTGCTCGGGCAGATTCTAAAGGCACAAGACTTGGAATCGTGATGGGGTCTTGACTCGATCCTCTTCAATTCCCTTCTGAGCCAGACATCCTTGTGACTGGCAGAGTCCTCAACGAGGCATGGTACCCTCGTAGTCTACGTTCCACGAGTGCTGCTCTCTCGTTCACGGCGAGTCCCCAAACCAATGGAGCCTAGAGGGATCCCATAAGTGGTTCGTTTAAGGACGTGCTCTTAATCCCGATGCGCCCATTCTCCTGCTCCGATTGTGGGGAATCAGAATGATGCTGTCGACCTGACCAAAAACCCCGACGAGCAGATCCTTCGCCTGACCTCGGGGTCTCTGAGCGAAATCTGTTAGTCCCGAAATTCATGAAGCGAGCTCCGAATCGATCTGGGATGCGGCTCGGCCACCGACAGATTCTTTGAGATGCGGAAAACCCAAAGACACCGAAGTTGCCATTTCACCTACCGCTGAGGCCAAATAAATAGCGATCCGTTTCATTTCTCATCGTAGATCATCTTGATATTTCCACTTTTTTTAGAGCCAGCAGCCCACTACGAAAGGGTTCGCATCGGAGCGCGATTTCCGAGCAGGTGAAGAAAATCAGCACAACTCCACAAGAGTTTCGGAGGGTCTCGCAGGAGCTAAAGCTAGTAAAAGAGATGCGATTTCCTCCATCTGGCCCAGACTCCAGGATAGAGAGATAGCAGCAGGCGAAGGCTCGAAGCGCACCACCCCATGACAAGGAAGCCTGAAGACTGGAGACGTCTTCTCCCTAAAGTGGATGCGAATGATTCTCGCTCATCAATATGGAGACATCACAGTCCTTCACGAGGTCCTTCTCTAACGAATCTCTTCGGCTCGATCTCCTGCTGGAATTTCGGAGCTGCGGAGCGCATCCGGGGCTCAGATCCGGCAGGTGCAAGCACGGAGGATTCCGCAAGTCCTCGCTTATCGCATCATTCGGTGAGCTCCTGTGGCATCGCCGAAGCCGGGAAGCTCGACAGCAGATACGGTCTCATGAGCGATTCAGTCACAGCGCGAGCGGGTGTCTCCATTGCGGGGGCATTCCTTGACGACAGAGCTTCGCCATAGCAACCTCTGTACTGTGTACCACAACAGCAACCGGCAAACCCCGACCGCTGAATGTGGCTGATTCGGCGGGGCTCGTGAGCTAACAGCTGAGCGCCAGCGGAAACTGATTCTCACTCCGTGGCCGAGTCTGATGAAACGTCCGCGCGATCGTGAAGCAGCATGCCGAGGTGGATTTGAGCGGAAGAGTATTTTTCGCCGGAAACCAGTGATCGTTTTCTCGTGAGCCTTTCTCGAAGCGAACAAATGCCATGACAAGGGATTGTTCTAGTTTCGAATGAAAACTGGAAATCTGAGGCATTGACCCCCGGTGTGACACTAGAAAAAGAAGAAAAGGTCAGAATTAATAATGACTCCCGCGTTGGATAAACGACAATCCCTCATCCTCAACATAGCGGCAGCTTATCTAGACGATACGCCGGATCGTCTAGGGGAGAAAGTCATAAAAGTTCTCAACATTTTCCTCGACACTCCCACCGTGACAACGTTGGCTATACTGAAAAAAAGCGACGCTAAAGAAGTTCTGTGCACGATTAATGTGAGTCGTCATTTTTGGAGTACAGCAGCCCACCGGCTCACTCCGCAAGCCGGGTTCTTCTAGATTCAGAACTCCCAAGCATCACTCGAACCGATCACCTAATAATACATAAATACACAAAAATACATGAATAGTAAATGAATCGAATAATTCCCAGATATCGGACGTGAGCAACAACATCCAGAAAGGTCTCGTTTTCTTCAAATTGAATGCGGTCGTCATCACCGAGAGCAATATGCAGGAAAGTCTGCACATAACATCGTTGGTGGATTCCCCCCTTGCTTCACTCTACGGAAACATACACAAGGTAATCTGGAGTGCTCCTGCCAAGCGGCGGTTCTGGCTCTTGGTCCATGGATTTCCCAACTGAACTTCGCGAAGTAGGGCCGATACGCGCTGAGCGGATGAAGACGACGATTCACCACGCAGAGACAGAAATCATCATGGCGTGCACTTATCACAGAAGGATGGAGAGCAAAAATGCGAGTCTCTACTGTTCCAGGTGTTTTCTCCTGTGATTCTGCAGCGCTCCCGAGTCTCACCCAAATTCCAGGAGCTACTCGGGGAGCTGGAGACGGGTCTCGTTGCGATATTGAATCGACCGCGGAGTGGGAACCTCCGCGATCAAGAACGTCTGGCGGCCATACTCGAGCCTTTGGATGAACTTTCCTTCTGGAGAGAACTTGCTGGCAGTGCATCAGGTGCAGAATCCACGCGGGCGAAAATATTCGCAAGGTCCGTAGCCGAGCGAAACCCAGTCTCCGAGTCGACATACCGACCATAGCAAGACATTTAGAGTCGCTAATGGGGACGCTGCCTGGTTAAGAATATCCATATAGGTCTCAAAACAGTCTTGGGAAGGGTCTTGATAATTTTCATTTCCAGCTACTTGGAGCCAATCGAGCAAATCTATGTCAATTCGGTGTCTTTGGGTGAGCTGTCGGACAACGTCGATACGTTGACGAATTTTCTGGACGATCTTTGGAAACAAGCTCACGTAAAGCCGCCCTATCCCCAAGCGAGAATGCGTCATCTCCTCGACACCGTCGGTAAGACTTTCCTTCTGGACGAGGATTGGAGATGCAAAAAGAAGAGCATCTGTGGAATCATTCCTCTCGGAGCTTCACTAAACTGCTCCCGGAAGAAGTGAAATCAAGTATAACGATACATGCGGATAAAATTCTCTAAACTTCAACGGGATGCGAATCGAGCGGAGGGTCGATAGCTCTGACTTTCGGGGCCGATACTTTCTGTGCGATCGAGGTCGTGGAACCTGAATCCCCTGAGGTGGATATTATTGCTGAGTCTGCGGAAGGGAATGAGGACTTACAGCCATGATGCTGACATCAGGATATTGACTGACTTTTGTGCGCAGGAATCACAATCACCACCCAAATTCAGGAATCCTTGCGAGATTCCCTGTGGACCATGCGGTATGATCAGCTGCGGATTGAGCTGGAGGTTGCTATCGACATCTGTCTGAAATGGCAGGACGCCTGCCAGAAGCACACGGGGATATTCTGGCCACAGGAAGAGAATCAGTGGAAAGGGGCTCCCTTCGTCCCCACTTACGTCGTCGGCTTCACTCAAAGGCTATTACAGGCAGGCCCCCGTGAATGGACATCTAAAATTTCTAGACTTGTAGAACTAAACCCTTCTCGCGAGCGATGGCCGATTTCTGTCTAGCCGGGAACTGACAGCCTTTATTCAGATTCAGAGTCTGCGTACCATACACAATCAGCTCTCATCGCTGGCTCGGTCCTCGTTGAAAGATGATCCTGAGGTTTTCGCTCCCTTGATGAAGATCGATGCTGTTCATTTCAATCCTGCCACGCAGCAGACCTTCGATAAAGCCGTCATCGATTTCGAGCATCATTTGAGGTGATTGCACTCATTTCCTCGCGATGTCTCGGCATAGCCCATGGGGCTGAACGCAGAATTGGAAACTAATTGTACGGACTTCTGCTGGCAGTGCTGCGGAGAAAGCTGCTGCGATTGGGCTCAAGAAACTCCTCAAAGAGGCGGGGAACAATATCGATGGCGTTCTGAGCATCATCAATCGCTATAAGGACGTAGCGGTTCGGCCACAAGTTGTCCGAGAGCTGACGGCGGAGAGGTACGGTACATACTCACCGTGTTTCCTTCATCATCGTCCTCTGTTCATAAGTAGCGATTTCTCTCCGTCTCTTACTCCCAACTTATCGATCGCTGTTCTGAAATCGCTGGATTCGAATTCAATGATGATGTTTCCAGAGAGAATATGGTTGTTCAAATGAATGAGCACGTGAGCCACCTGAGGAGGGAATACGACAACCGTATGGAGAATGAGGATAAAAATCGTATAGCTCAGATGCCTACCGTGGTCAACAACGTGATCTGGGGCCGTCACCTCGAGTCAAAGGCGAGATGAGCAGGATTGTCGATCATGTGCCTGTTTGCTGAAGATTTCTTTATTCTATCCACCGGAAACAATCTGGCCCTCCCAGTAGAATCTTTCCTGACAACTTCGTATTTTCGATAGATCGCGGATCTCCAGAGCGTAACGTCGTCGGTCCTGCAAGGACTCTCGTTGAGCACGAAGTTGGAGGACAAATTGCGTAGTCTCCGCACGGATATCGTCGAGTATCAAAAAGAAGTTTATGATTCTTGGTGCCGCGATCTCCACGGCGGTATCAGAGACAAGTCGCTGAGGTGAGTAGAACCTTCCCCGTGATTGAGTCGCGGTTGTGTCGGAGCGTTTCATATGAGAAACTAAAATCTCCCCTCGATTGACATTGAATCCAAACACGGATCCTATGGCAGTCTCGACATCGATCAACCCGTAATCCAACTGGACGAGCAAGGGATGCCAAAGGTGAATTACAGTCCACGGCTCGTATCTCTAATCCAAGAGGTCCGTCAACTCAAGGTGATGGGTTTGAACATCCCTCCCGCGGTTGACGAGATCGATACAAAAGCTCGACTGTACTTCAGGCAGGCGAAGGTTGGTAACCTGCGTGGGCATCTTGCGAAATATCACAATTCTCAAGGGTACATGAAGCCCTGAGGAGTAATGTCTCCGACCGAATGAAATATCGCGAGCCTCTGCGTCTCGCTCGGGAAACTAACAAAAGAGTCGCTCTTCCCCTCAAGGACCTCCAGCAAATTGGGAATTTCTACACGACGATCGCCGATCACATGATACTAAGCCAAAGGCCGATGATGCTCTCATCAGCGCAGCAGTTCACGAAACTCATGAACAGCAAGGAGAAAATAGCAACGTGGAACGATCCACAAGCGGTGGATGCGTACATAAAGGTCAGGAGGGAGCGCATCATGACTTTCCGAGGATCTCCATTGACTCTTCTTCTGCCCTTTAGCCTCCGGGAGCGGACGGAACTAGCCGGACATTCCTTCGCCGAGCGGTCACGAACAAGAGCACGGGCAACTTTGATGGAGGGAATAATTTTGATTTTTGCTCCCGAAGAAACTCCGGGACATCGCGGAAAAGCTCAGCAGACTCAACCGCATGCTGCGTCGCCAACACTTGGAAAATGCCGAGAAAGTTCTCATTCTGATGAACACTGATCTCCTGAACGAGCAACAAGTTTGGAAAGATCAGTTGTCGGAAATTCGAGGGATCATGAACCAACTCCAAGCCAGAGGTTTCAGCCCCGATCACATGAAATCATGGAAAACGCACTGGGATCGTCAGTTGTATAAGGCCCTGGATTATCAGTACGCCGCCTCCTTGTCGAAACTTTCTCAACACATGGCGGAAATACGAGTCGACCTGACCTTCAGGTAATGCCAGCGGCTCGATATTCTGATCGCGATCCTCCGAGATAGTGGGAAACTCCGGCAAGCGGTTCCCTGGGCCGATCTCTCACTGCAGTGTCGCGTCGCGGTGAATCACTCTCCGACAAGTTCTCCCGTCTTTCATCAGGAATGGGGAAATCGCTTTCCGTCCACCCCTCGAAGAGGTTCGAGCGAAGTATTTCTCACAGATCAAGAAATTCCTGTCCATCCCTCATCATTTCAAAGGCGTGTCCAATACCAGCGAGGGCGCGCAGATATTTGCCAGCATAATTGACAAGCACGCGGTAAGTCCACGAATTTTTCGACGTCGAAATTCTGAACTTCTGATTCGATTTGCCCCACACAGCTGAGGCTCATCCCCACCCTTCGGTATACTCAATTCCAACATATAATCCGATTAGCGTCTATTCACCCGGGGAAACGAATAATTGGGAGAATCCATGTCTTCTAGGACAAGATCAGCGCTCTCTACCGTGACCAACATGCCGTCCTCGAGCAAGTGGAAAGGTCACGCGATCGTTTCGAGGGTTGGGTCTCTTTCGGAGGCATTGATCTCGAGGATATAGTCGAGGAGTGCTGCAAAACGCCGGACGACTGGAGACTCAACTTGAAAATGGTCAAAATCAAAAGTCAGGAGTTTGCCAAAATGAATATGTGAGTTCGAGCGAGCCTCTGGGAATTTATTTCAAGCGATCGTTCTCCTGAGTAATGCGGGGCAGAGTCACTCAGTCTGAACGATTATCATGGATTTCTCGAGGACAGCGTGTATAATCTTTTTGCTTGTAGAGAGGAGGAAAAGTTCGACTGCATCACTGTCAGTTTCGCTCCGATCAAATCCTACATCGATTATCTGCTATCTGAGATCAACACGACTTTGGTCCAGGTGCTGCAGAGCAGCATCACGAAGGACGCGAACAGGATCCAGAATTTCATTCAACAGTCGACCAGCGTTTTATTGCGTCGACCTCAAACCGTCGATGAGATGACTGAATCCGTCATCAAACTCAGCGAGATCCGACAGACGCGCTCAGAGGTGAGTGAGTCCGATGCAATGGATCAGAAATTTGTCTCCCTAAGTACATTCCGACAAGATAGTTCTCGAAGCATAAAAGGGCCGAATCACAATTCCACGATTACTCACAGCTGCAAAATGTCTATGAGCAAAGCGAAGCCAAGAATCAAATCCTCGGGCGGTGGAGTCGGAAGAGCGTCAAAGAGTTGAATCAGCTTTCCGCTCAATGGGACACTCTGGATCGTCTGATAGAAGACTTCGAGGCGAACGTCAGAGAACAGGCCGAGGTCCTTAAGGCCAATCTGCTCACAAAAATGGACAATTTTGACAGCGACGTCACTCGGCTCTGCCTTCGTTGGAAAAATAGTCGACCGAAGAAGAAAGACGACTTTGAGCAAGCGAGTCAGCTATTGAAAGAGTTTCGCTTGGAGCTCAATGCTCTTCTGAAGACAAAGGGAGAACTAATGTGAGTAATCGCCCCCGATCTGCGGGCTGAGTAGGAGCGATGCAGATGCTTCAACGAACCTGGGAAGTCTTCGATTCGCTCATGATCAAGGACCTTCACGGGAACAGAGCATCGCGTGGTGCAGCTGAGCTAGGGTTTCGGCCCGGACCCAGAACAATGTTCCCCAGAGCAAATCAAGAGATTCGGTCTGAGCAGAGAGGTGTCCGGATGCAGTACCTGCTCCATCATGGCTCGCGGATCTGTATTATTTGATGGATGATTTTCCTTGACAGAGAAGAGTCGAAACACTTCGGTGTAGATTCTCCGAGTGTTGGGGAGTTGGAAGCGCTCTCCGCGGAATTCGAAGACGAAGAGAAAGTCTGGCTCATGTTCGAAGAGTTCGACAGCGATATCAAGAAGCTGGCCGACGAAGAATGGGTCGTCATCAGGTGCGCAGAGAAGAGCTCACAGGATATCGGAATGCCTCTGAATATTTCTATCCATTTTCCTCTCACATGGCGACTATTCGATTGATTCTTCCAGGGGTCGTCTGCATCGATTCGAGAATCTCTTAGGAGATTGGAGTCGACGATTGAAGGACATTCAAGAATCTGCGGTCACCGTGCCTCTCTTCGCTCGAGTGGACTCGTATAGGGAATTGTTGAGTGTTCTCAAATTTTGTAAGGGCGAGGAGTTCTCACCGCATCACTGGGGCGAGTTCTTCGCCATAACAGGCATCCCCCAGAAAAGTGCCGATAAACTCCTTTTCGCGGACTTCCTCTCAGCGAAGAATGTCCTCTTGGAAACTAGTGCCCAGCTGAAAGGTACAGAGAACCTCTCCGTCCCTCGAACAAAGGTCTCGCGAACTGAGTGAAGAAGATAATCGGAATCAATGACGAGAGTTAAACTACCATTTCCTTCACAGATCTGAATAACAGAGCCCACGGAGAAGTCACCATCCGAGAAGCTTTCAACGAGCTCGAGTTCTGGTCGAATAGCTCGAAGTTTTCCCTTGTCTCGCACGAGGACTCGAATGGGGAAGCTCTGGCTTTGATCAGAGATTGGAGCGAGGTCACGTCGAAAGTCGGGGACAATCAGTGTCTACTTCAAGCTATGAAAGATTCTTCGTTTTACCCCAATTTCGCTGATCGAGCCCAGGTTTGGGAGCATAGGCTATCGAACCTCGATTCTGCCCTGTACGTTATGCAGCAGGTACGCAGCACGCAGCAGCTGAGAGACGGAGGCCGCGCCGTTCTCAAGGACAGACAATCTCTCTCGATCCGATGCATAATTGTCGAGGCTCTGAGGTCGATTTCGGGGACGGAAAATGTTGTGAGGAACGAAAGTTTGTTCAAATCGAAACCCGATTGTCGAGCAGGTTCAACGAAGATGGACCTACTTGGATCCTATCCTTGGTCAAGGAGCCCTACCAAGTGAGGCTTCCCGCTTCAACGCCGTCAGCAACGAATTCAAGTAAGATCGGGATCGAATGAGAACATGCGCCCCAGAGCCGAAAATTAATTTTTTATTTTTACATAAGCAATTATGATAATTGTCCGTGTCCGGCTCCTGAGTAGAGGTCAGAATTGCGACTTTTCTGTGGGATAGTTTTCTCGCCCCATGAAAATCGCTGACGGACTCCAGACACTGGATTGGCGAGGGAACTGATATCGAGTGTTTCCAGGAATCTGATGAGGGGTATCCAACGAGACCCACGGGTGGTTCTCCTTTCGAATCAGATGGGACTGGTGGACTCGTTGACAAATATGCTCGATCAACTGAATCGTTCCCAGAAAGCTCTGAATCAATACCTAGAGGTGAAGAGGTCGCTGTTCCCTCGTTTCTATTTCCTCGGTGATGAAGATCTGCTGGAGATCTTAGGACAAGCGACTCGACCCCAAATCATTCAATCTCACCTGAAAAAACTATTCGCCGGTGAGAATGCTTGAACGATGACGGAATGAATAATTCGTCCCGAGTACATTCAGGTATCTCATTGAAATCGATTGGAGCGATCAAGCCGGAAAGAGTTATAAGACAAAATTGCTTCGGAAACAAGGTATACATCGAGTTCAATTCAACGACACCGAGGACTCGAGCAAACTGGAAATAGAAGCCATGGTCTCGCAAGACGGGGAAGTGGTTCCGCTGGAAAAACCCGTCAAGGTGGTCCGAGAGGTCGAAGTGTGGCTACTGCAGCTTTCCCGGGAGATGCAAAATACCCTCAGGAACATGGCTCACCGCTGCTTCGGCCGCGATGCCGCGGAAGCGGCTCTCGACGAGTTCCCATCGCAGGTTGTTTTCGGTGGACGGGAAATCTCTTCTTTAGATATTCGGGAGGCTTGAGGGGCTCAAATTCTTTCGTAGTGCCGAATCGTTGAGAATCGTCGTCCTTCCTCAGGTCCTCTGTCTCTCTGAAATGCTGGTATTCACGCAGAATTGTGAGAAAGCCATCGAGAGCAAATCACTCGACAAGCTCAGGCTGAAGCTCACGAATAAGCTATCATCCTATACCTCTCGTTTGGGAACCCTGACCGACCCTCTCCAATCGCTGAAACTCAAAGCTCTCGTGCTGGACGTTATTCACAACATGGATGTTGTTGAGTACCTCATCGAACATCAGGTCGTCCAGCTGAGCGATTGGTGTTGGCAGAAGCAACTTCGAGCCTACATGCAGAAAGATAACACCATTCGAGTGAACATGGTCGACGCATCTTTCGAGTACACCTACGAGTACCAGGGCAACGCAGCAAAGCTCGTCCACACACCTCTGACAGACAAATGTTTCCTGACCCTGACTCAGGGAATGAAAATGGGAATGGGGGGGAACCCCTACGGACCAGCCGGGACGGGGAAGACAGAGTCCGTCAAAGCGCTCGGCTCCGTGCTCGCGCGACAGGTCCTGGTCTTCAATTGCGACGAGGTGAGGAACTTCCCCCCCCCGTCTGGAGGGAATGTCAGCCACCTAGAATCGTGTGACTTATATTTGCAAAGACGGGCATACATCTGTTTTTCGTATTCCAGGGAATCGACGTCAAGTCGATGAATAGGATATTCATCGGCTTGGTGAAATGTGGAGCTTGGGGATGTTTCGATGAATTCAATCGACTCGAGGAAGGAGTCTTGAGCGCACTCTCAGTGCATATCCAAGCGATCCAACATGCCCTTAAGGACAAGAGACCGTCGACAATATTATCGGGTCAAACGGTAAGTCTGATCCCATGAACGATTCGAGGAGGAAGCAGAGTCTTACATCAGATGCCGTGAGGGCGACGGGAGCTCTAAGCGATTTCTCGATTTTCCGAGAAGTCTCCGGAATAGAAAAAATTCACAATAAAAATGCTTCCGATGTCAGGTGGACGTGAATCCCAACGCCGGGATTTTCGTAACGATGAATCCAGCTGGGAAAGGCTATGGGGGACGGCAAAAACTCCCCGACAATCTCAAACAACTGTTTCGGCCGGTCGCTATGACGGTCCCCGATAATGTCGTCATTACGCAAGTGTTGCTCTATGCCGAAGGTTTCAAATTCTCAAATGTGCTCAGTACGAAGCTCGTAGCCGTATTCACTCTGGCCAAGGAGTTCCTCTCCGAGCAACAGCATTACGACTGGGGATTGCGTAGTCTAAAAAGCGTAATTCAGGCGTGCGGTGCGCAATTACGGCAAGCCGACATGGTGAAAGGTATGATCCTGACTCATCAATCGAACCACGCGTCTGTGAACGTTCTCTAAATTACGAAGATCTCCGCTGAGGGAAAAGGACTCAAAAGATGCACTTCTTCCGGATTGTATTCCAGAGATCGCTAAGGCATGTGGTTTTTCAGAAGACGCTCGGGAACACGAGGAGTCTAAAGTCATCATCCGGGCTCTAAGGCTTAATACGCTCTCCAAGCTGTCCTATAGAGACAGTCGGCAGTTCGACGCACTCATACAAGACATCTTCCCGGACGTTGAGCTCGAGAACTTTGAGAACGAGTCACTGGCAGCAGCGTGTCGGGAAGCATGCAGGGACCTGAAGCTTGAGATCGATGAGAAACAGATTAAGAAAATGATCGAGCTCGACGAGCAGCTCCGGCAAAGGATGGGTGTTGTGATCGTGGGACCGTCCGGCTCGGGCAAATCCACCCTCTGGAAGGTCCTCAAGACGGCTCTTCTGAAACAGGCGAAAGACATCAAAGTGCACGTATTCAATCCGAAAGCAATGAGTAGAACCCAGCTTCTAGGAAGCATCGACCTCGATACCAGAGAATGGCATGACGGCGTCTTGACTCTATCGGCGAGGCAGGTGGGTGACCTTGATCTAACAATGCGTCCTATCGGTGATGTTGTTTTCGGTCAAAGACTGAATGCTCCCGGGCATCGTCCCCGATTTCGGTGCTGCCACTTTGCTTTCCCTTTTCCCGGCCCCATTATCGATTTCCCTTCGACTTAGGACTCTCCGTCTTCTCAATGCATGAGCCTGTTGCCCTTCCTTCAATTTTCATTGAATTAAGATGCCTTATTCTCGGGGAACGTTTTCGCCTCAGTCGCTTTTCCATGTACTGTATGGCTGTGTTCTCAATGCCCCGTCCCCGAAGTCAGAAATCCTGCCATCAGATCCCGAGAACATTTGATAACGCATTGAGAACATTTATCTCCTTTGTCTAGGTCATCAAAGAAGAAGTCACGTCAACGTCCTGGATCATCTGCGATGGTGACGTAGATCCCGAGTGGATCGAGGCTTTGAATTCAGTTCTGGACGACAACCGTCTGCTCACGATGCCGTCCGGGGAACGGATCCAATTCGGATCGAATGTCAACTTCTTGTTCGAAACTCACGATCTGTCGCATGCCTCTCCTGCCACCATCTCCCGAATGGGAATCATACACTTGAGCGTTGAGACCATGAGCCCGGCGAACCTGCTCTGGGCTTGGCTCAAGGGAGAAAAACCGGATGTTCAAGTGATTTTGAAACCTCTCTTGGAAAATTACTTCCTTGGCTGTTTGGACTGGGTACTGAAACGGAACGAGAACGCCATACCGACCACAAGCATCGGCTCCGCGCTCGGAGCCCTGTCTCTCCTGCATGGAGTCAAGTCGAAGGCGGAACTAGCAGCTGCCCTTGTGCACGGGTTCGGCGCTAATCTCCGGCCGTCCGCGCGGCAACCCTTCGCCCAGCAGACTTTGAATTCTATGGGAGAAATGGTCCCCGATCCAAATCGGGCCGAGTTCACGTACTTCAACAAAAGACGCGACCGTCTCGATGTTTATCAGAAAGCCGAGGATAGAGCGGTGGACATCACTTCGCTGACGGGACCGATCGGTCGGCTACCCGTTATCGAAACGATCCCGATCCAGAGAGCGAGCGAGATACTGATACAGTGGCTGGCACAGACTAAACCGATTATAATCGCCGGCCCTCAGGGCTCGGGAAAATGTCTGTTGGTGAGACACAGCTTCGCGAAAATGTCTCACATGTCGATTCAACTGGCGAACTTCTACTGCTCGTCGCAGACCCGGCCGGTACACGTTCACCAGAAACTACTCCAACACTGTATCGTCGTGAATTCAGGCAGCACGAGTAAGATCCTCCGTCCGAAAGACAGTGAGAAGCTCGTCGTTCTCCTGAAGGATATCAGCGTACCGAAAAAAGATAAATGGGGAACTTGTCAGCTGATCGAATGGCTGCAGCAGATTACGAACTACGGGGGTTTTTACGACGAGAACCTCGACTGGGTCGTTCTCGAAAGAATTCAGTTCGTCGCCACAGTGTCGGACGGTACGAGCATTTCGACGAGATTCACATCGATCTCTCTGATGATGGCTCTGGAGCATCCTGGACCCGACGAGCTGCTTCAGATATATTCCGCCCTCCTGAGACCCGTAGTCGCTGAATCATCTTTGGACGTGAACGCATTGACCTCGGCCATGGTGAAGTTGCTGATGTCAATGAGGAAATCCTTCTCGATGAGTTCCCGGAAACATTATGTATTCACCGCGAAAAATCTCACCGAATGGACTCGCACCTTGACCAGATACACAAAATCGGAGAGCGAACTCGCCACCGTTTGGTGTCACGAGGGACTGAGGATTTTCGGAGACAGTCTCGCCACGGAGTCCGATGTGCGAGACTTTCTGACTTTGTTCGCTGGCATTTTGGACTCGGATCTCGGTGGAGGATTCAAAAAAATTCTCCTCGATCTCGTCTCGAGGGAATTTTTCTTCGTTGCGTCGGACGGGTCCCCGAACGCCTTGGGCAAGGATTTGGTGAACATGCAGAGCGCCGATTGGGCAGCGACCTTACAGAAGATATCGGTGAGATACGCCTCCCAGGTCCGTCAGATACGGCCGGCTTTCCACGAGGATCTCCTCGATCTATCGAGCAAGATAGATCGTTTGTTGTCGCAGAACAACAGCTCGATCCTTCTCGTCGGACAGCCCGGTCTCGGTAGGCGAATGGCAGTCTCGCTCCTGGCTCATCTGTACGACTACACTTTTGTGAGCCCCAAGATCAAGCTCCAATATTCTGTGTCGAATTTCAACAACGAGATAAAAGTCGCGCTCCAGAGCGCAGGATTCGAGAGGAAACCAACCGTTCTGCTAATTGAGGAGCATCAAATCGAGAAAGAAGAATTCCTCGAAATCATCTGCGGAATTATAGCTTCAGGTGAGCTGCCAGGTCTCTTCGCACCGCAAGAGCTCGAACCCCTCAAGGAGGTTGCTTCGGACGAAGGTTTCCGCGGCGGAGTATTCGCGTATTTCGCCGAGAAGGTCAAACAAAATCTACGGGTCGTGATAACGATGAGCTACAGCGATCCGAGATTCAACCGACGGCTCGAGGATAACCCTGCGCTGTTCAAACACTGCACCGTGGTTTGGACCACGGGCTGGAGTTCCGAGACCATGGAGAACATGCCGACCCTAATGATCGAGTCGAACGACCGTCCGAAAACCGCGAACTCCGACCGGTGCAGCGTCGAGGCGTTTGCCAAGTTATTCAGCAAGGTCCACGAAAGTGTCGGGGTAGAATACTCCTCGCCTAGAACCTACCAGGGTTTCATAAAAGCGTACGACGTGCTCTATCAAAATAAATATTCTGAGCTCAAACAGAGGAAACTGCATCTCAAAGCCGGAGTGGAAAAACTCGACGAAGCCAAAGCGACCGTCGACGAGCTCCGCGCGAACGCGAAGGTCCAAGGGGAGCTTCTGGTGAAAAAGAGAGCCGAAGCCGATGAGGCGCTCAAAGCGATAACCGACAGCGTGTCGCGCACCACCGAACAACGATCCGAGATGCAAACTCTGCAGAAGCGTATGGTTCAAGAGAATAAGAAGCAGGAGCAAAGGAAGAAGGAGATCGACGCCGAGCTCAGCGAAATCGAGCCCCTCATAAACCAGGCGAAGGACGCGGTCGGGGGAATCAAAGCCGAATCGCTGTCTGAGATTCGATCCCTCAGAGCTCCGCCCGATGTGATCCGCGACATCCTCGAAGGCGTCCTCAGCCTCATGGGGGCAACCGACCTCTCGTGGGTCAGCATGAAAACGTTTTTGTCGAAGAGAGGGGTCAAGGAAGAAATTCTAAACTTCGACGCCCACAATATTTCGGATGAGATGCGTCAAAACGTCGAAGCCCTCCTACAGAAACGCGGCGCTTCGTTCGATCCGAAAAACGCTAAGAGAGCCTCAGCAGCCGCCGCGCCTCTCGCTGATTGGGTCCGCGCGAACGTAAAATACGCGGCGGTATTGCAGAAAATTGAACCCCTAGAGAAGGAACACAAGCGTCTCATCGAGAATCTCAATACTTCCGAGCAGAGGTCCAAAGATCTGGCGTCGGCTCTCGAGGGCGTCGACAGACGTGTCGCTGAGCTCAAGGATCAGTTGAATAAGTTGACAACCGAAGCCGCTCAGATCGAGATCGGCCTGAAGGCCGCTCAGGACACGCTCAACGCAGCGGAAGGCCTAGTGGGCCAGCTGCAGGACGAATACGCGCGGTGGAGACAGCAGCTGGCCGACATCGACTCGCAGCTGCAGGATCTCCCGCTCCGCTGCCTGATGGCTGCTGCGTCGGTGACCTACTTGGGTCAGCTGCCCGAGGACGTGCGTCAGAAGTTGGTGACCACGTGGACGGGGATTTTGAATCTGTCGTCAGATTTCGATACATCGAAGTTCCTCAGCTCCGAGCAGGAAGTCCTGATTTGGAGGCAGTACGACCTTCCCTCGGACAAACTGTCGGTTGACAATGCGATTTTCATCAAAAGCTCACCGATAGCTACGTTCGTCATCGATCCGACGAGCTGTTCGATGAACTGGCTGAAATCCTATCGATCGAAAACCGTGGAGATCGTTTCTCAGCACGAGGACCGCTTCTTATCCGCCCTCGAACTCGCGATCCGTTTTGGGAAATTGCTTGTTGTTCCCGATACGCAGAAAGTGGAACCGATTCTGATACCTTTGCTACGGAAAGATCTCATCAATCAAGGCTCGAGGTCGATGGTCCAGCTGGGCGATAAATTGATCGATCTTCACGATGATTTCGAATTGGTGTTGCACACTCAAAACTCGTTGATCAGTCTCCCGCCGTACGTCGACGCTTTGGTGAACGTCGTGAACTTCTCTATCACTAAAGCGGCTTTGTCGGAGCAGCTGCTCGATCGCATCATCCACAACGAGAACCCCGACGTCGAGGAAAAACGGATGGAACTTATCAAGAACCAAGAGAGAATGAAAGTCGACTTAGCTCGCATGGAGGACGAACTACTCAATCAGTTGGCTTCGTCGCAAGGAAACCTCCTCGAGAACAAGGTCCTGCTCGCATCGTTGAACCACAACAAAACCAACAGCATCACAATAGCGAACGCCTTGGAGGAATCCGAGAAATTGCAGGCGTCCGCCGAGGCCGAACGGCGTCAATATTCAAAGCTGGCGGATTTCGCAAGCGACACGTTCTTCGTGACCAGGGACCTGCGTCAGCTGTCACCGATGTACCTCTTCCATCTGAGCACCTTCGTCGAAGTTTTCGAAAACGTTCTGAAAACGACGACGAGATCGCCGAAAATCGAAGACGTCATCGCGGAATTGAGCGCTGAGTTGCTGAGAGCAACTTTCCTGAATTTCAGCAGAGCTCTCTTCAAAGAGGACCGAATCTGTTTCGCGCTGTATCTTTTGAAGAAAATGCAAGCAGAAAACTTCCCGGCGGCTCAATGGGAGAGCTTCATCGGACTCGGCGAGAGTAAAGCCGAAGTTCCTCAGAGTTCCGTCCCGCCGTGGGTTGAAGCGGATCAATATCTCGCATTAGCAGCCTTCAAAGCTGTCAACATGGACATATGGCCCGCGTTGGAACTCCATAACGAGAGCTGGTGGAAAGAGTTCGGGAAAAGCGACAAATGCGAAAATGAGTTTCCTCCTCAAGCCAAATTGAAACCGTTCAACGAAGTGCTCCTGATCAAAGCTTTGAGGCCGGACAGACTTTACTTTAAAATAAGCGATTTCGCCGCAACGTCGATCGGCGTAAAAGATCTTTCGGCGGGAATCCGATCCCTGAAACGAGTATTCGTCGAGTTGTCATCGGCACGAGTCCCGATCCTAATTTCGGTGCCGTCGGGCATCGACCCGAGCATCGAAATCGCCGAGGCAGCCGAGACCACTGTTGGCAGCGGAAAGTATCGAATGATATCGCTCGGCCACGAACAGACCGCGGAGGCGCTAAAAGCCCTCAAAGAATTAGCGGTTTCCGGTCACTGGCTCTGTCTTACGAACCTCCATCTCGTGACAACGTGGATTCCAAATTTACTGAAAGAGTTAGCCACACTCGAACCCCATGCGGATTTCCGGCTCTGGCTAACGACGGAACCCAGAGACACCATACCGCCTCGGCTGATCGAAATTTCCCTCAAGATCGCGTATGAGACTCCACCGGGCTTGAAGCGTAACATGCAGCGAATCTACGATTCGTGGTCGCAGGATACGATTAGCTGCCGAGGGAATCTTCAAGCATCGCAATGCGTGTTCGTGTTGGCGTGGTTCCATGCCATCATCCAGGAGCGGAGGACTTACATCCCCCAGGGATGGTCCAAGGGATACGAATTTTCGGCCGGGGATCTGAAAGCGGCACTTCAGGTGGTTCAGCAGCAATTCACATCGGGATCCGTGGAATGGTCCTACCTGCAAGGCTTGCTAGACGTTGCGATCTACGGGGGACGGATAGAGTCCGCATTCGACGACCGGATCCTCCGGGCCTACGTGACGCGGCTCTTCAATAAACAGGTCGTTACGGGCTCGTCCAGATCGCAAGGCGTTGCGCCGAATGTCGGCGTGCCCGGCGAGGCTACGGGCAGGGATCACTTAAAAATTATTCAGGCTCTTCCCGAGGAGGACAAAGCTGCGTTTTTCAATCTCCCTGCCAATATAAAGCGAACCCAGCAGAAGGTCAAAGCGAACGAGATCATTTCACGGCTGAAACAGATGAGTATCGCGAAAAGCGATGAAAAATCAGACAAGACCGCTGAGCGCTGGAATCGAGGCGTCGGGCCGCTCTTGGCGCTGTGGAAAAAGCTCAACGAGGGCTTGTCGATTCATCAGCAGAAAATCGACGAATTCGGATCAGAGAGCGAATCGCCCCTGGAAACATTCGTGTCCAATGAATGGAGTTCCGCGGTTCGACTGGTTCAGACGATCCACCATAATTTATCGGAAATCAGCAAAATCATCAGAGGCACGGCTCTGGTGACATCGGCATCGTCGTCGATCGCAGAACAACTGTTACGTCTCGAGGTAAGTCGACCCGTTAAGTGGATCCAAGGGACCGGGGATGCCAGCTACCCTCTCAGAATGGGCAGAGTTCTAGGTTCATTTCGTGATTTCCCGTCTGAAGCATTCCTAGGCTGAACAGAGTTGACGGGGGCTACAACCCATCGCATCATCGACCATCGATCAGGATTCGGACGTCCTGAGAGTCCGAATCATGGCGACATACTAATGAGGAATTCCGTCTCGGATAGACTCCTTCGGAATGGCTACGACTCTGGAGTGGTTCGGAGGACCCGTATGTGTACCTTCGGTTGGTCGTCTCGAAGGCGTCGTCCATTCAGAACAAATGGCTGCATCGTTCCGGCAGTCTCGCCGGGAGTTCACTGGATCTCGCTGAACTCTTCAATCCAAACAAGTTCTTGAACGCGTTACGACAGCAGACAGCTAGGTGAGTTTCCCTCAAACATAAGAGACTCGCTCCGGTGTCAGCGAAAAGTTCTCGAAATCTTGTCGAGACAGAATCCGTAATGGCGATGATGATGATGATAACGCTCTGGATTATTTGCAACCGGAATTGGTTCGACGCTTTTAGGCAAGCCAAGACCGCCATCAATGCTCTGCGGCTGGAAGTTTCGTTCCGGAAACCTTTGAGCTCATGTCCTATCCAGGTGAGGGGAATTCGGTGACGGTCCCGAGATTTTCAGACGACTTACTTTTTGTCGAGCCGCGTCGGATGACTTCCCATCTGCCTCAAGTGTTCGATGGATACCGATATCCCGATTCCTTAGCTCCGAGAGACATATATGAAGAAAGAAAATCATTCTCTCATTTTCAAGGTCAAGGTTGAAAATCTACTGATAGAAGGCGCTCTTTTCGATGGCTCGTCACTCTCTGAATGCCACCATAACTCGCCGACAACAACCGCGGTGCCTGTGGCAAGCCTCGGATGGACCAGTGACGTGAGTGCGGAGTGTAGGACAAGATTACTAGAAAACTGAGGGCCGATAAAGTTGAGATCATTAGATCCCTACTGAGAATGAGCGGTCGACTCAGGGCACACTCCTTTCCTTACAGATGCGTCTCGCCGATGCAACAAACGTCGTCGGGGTTCCGCTATACGAAGACGCGACAAGATCGAAATTAGTGACTAGCGTAGATCTGCCGTGCGACGCAGATCCAGATACGTGGATCTTGTTCAACGTCGCTCTACTCCTCCGGAATGTCTGATAGTCCTTTGAGGAAATCTCATTATCGTTGAGCATCTTATTGTTGACACACCGAACTTGCATGAAACCCGGACATGAACCGATTTACGAATGTTCGCCGGTTTATTCTCACATTTATCCGTGTGATCCAATCTAGTCACAGACTCAACTCGACCAAAATTACAACCGCCCAGAGTTCTTCCATCGATGGAAACTTGGTAGACAGCTTGGAGAAAGTACCTACAGAACCCGTAAGGGATACATCGTATAGTCTAGTCATCGATTCGTGTAATGAATATCGAATACTTGTTGAATAAATATCGTTACTGATTCGTCGCAGTATCGTGATTGAATAAACGACCAGTTGAGGCTCCTCCCGTGCCTCATCTAATATTTATCAGGTTCTGCTTCAGGATTCCCACCACAGATGGCGGAAGTGGTTCATCGGTCCGGCGGCTCGGAGGGCAGGGGCAGGAGTGATCTCTCTTTCAGCTGGACACAATCAGGGATTGTCCACTTTTGCTGCGAGTGACATCGTACTCGACTCCACGTTGGAAACGAATCGTTCCAACTTTGCCTTCGCCGATATGATGATGCACCCTGCAAGATGGAACTATTTAGATTACCGAGCAACTGGGTAGAGCACTTCCGGGGCAATCGAGTCGAATTCACAGTGGAGTCCTGAATGAGGCAGGGCTCGCTTCGCGACAATTCCCTAAGTACACGAACATCTCAAAATTGAGAATGATGCTCCCTACATTGGAGCGATGGTCCGCCTAACGAACAGCTCGAGTCGGATAGATATCTCGCAAGGACTGAATGAGTAGATAAAATCGAACGTTTACTAATATAGGATAATCGCTAAGACGATTGAGTGTTGCTCTGCGACCAACGAGCACGCTCAATCTAAAGAGGTAAAAGAATCCGGAGAGTCAAGTTTCGCTGGGGAAATTCCGTTCAACAAACATTCTCAGGGAACCAATCAAGTCCGTAACACGGGGCACCTTAATATATTGCGTTATACTGTCTGTAATCTATCTGCGACCCACATTGAGTTCAGAGATCGGTGAAGGAGTTTCCGATTCCGAGAGATGAGGGTGAGTTGGGAGACGAATTCTATGAGGGAGTCCCCGAAATCCAGAATCAGATCGCCCTCCTTGCTCTTGTTCTGGGGCGACATCGGAATTCTCAGAATCACAACACCATCGTTCATCGAGCTTACATTGACGCCTGCGGAATTTAAATCAGAATAGATTTCGTCATTGACTTCGCGAGTCACTACGTAAGAACAATCAAGTCGGCATGGCTAGGGTTCATCTTCCCTGAGTGAGAGAGAATCGGACTTACAAGCATCTGAAACAAATGATGGAAAATTGAGTCTGTTTCTGAAGAACCACGCCTCCGCGAGGAAGCCGGAGGGAAGCAGAATACACAGGCTTCCGACATTTGTCTCTTAAAAACGCATCATTCTCACCGGTCATGGTTCTGAACGCTGCAGAGAATTTGAGTTTGAATCTCTCGTCGACGAGGTAAATTCTCTGGTTCGACAGCACAACGACTCGTTGTCTCTGTTTGTACCCGTGGCGATCGTATTTGACAACATCAGTACAGTACTGGAAAAAAATACCGGCTTTGATTCTGCCGCTCGATGTCGTAGCTACCAGCTGGTATAGCCATTGAACGGCTATGGACTCGTAACGACGTGATATGTATCCTCCATCCACCCTAGATATTCAGGAAATCCACCGCCAAACTGACCACGAAATACTCATCATTCTTGAAATTAGCTTTCTCGAATGATGCCTTCTGTTTGATCGAACTTTCGCGTATATTTTCCGCGCAAAAAGCTCTTTCCAGACTCTTCGCATAGCTCAACTTCTTCCCCTGTCAGAAAAATTCGGAGAAAATTGTTATCATGGGCATTTCTGCGTATACAACGACCGGAATTTTCGGGCACTGCTTTCGGCCGCATCATTTCGATCGTGGAACAGCCCTGCTGACAGAAAAAATCACCTTGAAGAGTTCAGAGGCCTCGAGCTTCCACCGGAGTTGAGAGAGGGCTTCGGGACTCAGTGATCGAAAATAGGAACGCACCAGAATCCGACGGTGCAAGCCTCTCAGGATTTCTGAGGCTTCCTGGAAGCGAGATTCCAATCAGTCTCCCGATAAACAGTCTAACTGATATCCATGACGGCGTCTCGTACGCGAGTCTCCGATGAGAAACTTGCCTTACAAGCCGATGGGGCGATCGGCCAGTTCTTGTCCAACACTGACCTTGGCAGGGCTTTTGCCAAGTCGCAGAGAAATCTCACCCGTAGACACTGGAGGAACTGTGAAAAAAAAATTCTGAAGTCTTCTGCCACTCTTCGAGCATGTTCAAGAGATCGCGATGAGCATGTTCAAGATTGGAAACCCATCCCACTGGGAGTGCCCCAAAGAGTTGCCTCCAATCGCGAGCTTCTGGGTGCGATTCGACGGCTATCGAATTCGGACGATGAGTGTTCCCCGATCTGTTCCCGCCGCCGCAGCGGCGCCGCAAGAGCTCATTAGGCGTGACAAGGACCCTTACCATTCGATTAACGTCGCTCTCTGGCTGGCGCCTGTAGATGAATCCCCGAATGAATCTGCGGATGAAATCGTTCGTTCTCGTCGGTCACATCTTGCCAAGCTCCTTCAGACGGTGAAACTTTCTTTTTCGTCCTGATTATGTCAATCTCTCGCCGCCAAATGATTGTTCGAACGAAAATGGAGTGGGACGAGTGAGAGGCCGCTTTTTCGTTAGCAGGATCTCACTGTTCTCTGCTCCTTTCACCACGATCGCTCCCGATGTTTGAATATTCATTCCACACTGCCCACATTGCGGGAGATCTGACTCCTTTCGGCGTCGCCCAAGTGCTAGGTAGAGTCTGTCAAGAACCAAGTCATATCACGACCCTCGAGCGGCACCTCAAGAGTCGGGTTCCGGCCTGTTGATCCTCTTAACCGAACCAGTACTGGCAGCGTCGCGGCACAACCCGAGACCGCAGAAACGGCAATACTCTTCGCCCTCACGCGAGACGACGATTGATGCAAAATAATTCGCTGTATAATCGCCCCGGAAAGCAATCACGGTTCTCTAATGATGCACAGAGGCTCCAGGGACCTTTTACGCTCTCCACCCAACTCCCGTCTACACCGAATCAGCTTCCAACTCACATTCGAATGACGTCGGCGGCGTGTTTTCTTTTTTCGAGCTCCCTCTGAGCCTGCAACCTCTTCCACGAGCATTGAATTCGGATTGCTGGAAATCGACGAGGGTCATTAGAAGCAGCGCCCTGGCATATCAAAGAGAAAACAATCTCCCAGTTACTTTGAGTTGGTCCCAGAAACCATTTGCGAATTAGAATTCGATAGAGAAAGACGGCTCGCTCTGAGGGACTCAATACATTCGTTTCGGAGTCCTGGACAATTGTTTTCCACCCTCTCCCGTATTCGCTGGGGAGCCCATGTCTTCTCGGAGAGACATCTGTTTGGGATCGTATTATTCTGAGAAGCTTCATGGAGAACAATTCAATGGAACGAATCGGGAGGGATTCGGACGAGCGTGTGACCAGAATTACAGTCGTTGACGTCTCGACTGATCAGAAGCGAATCGGAGAAAGGACTCCGTAGACCATGTTTTATAGGAATTGTGCATTGTGATTGAGGCAGAAGACGCTCTCGTGCCAGCGGCATTCTTTGTAACTTGTTCTGTGGTCCCAGAAATATTTGAATTATCTGAAATAGAATCCGACGGAGCTATCGCGCGTAGTAAACAGACGGGATTCGACGATCTTTCACTGTGAAGCCGGTTGACCGGCGAAGTCGTTGTCCTGGGGCGGAACTATCCGATGCGGCTCTAAACTTTCTTCAACAGCAGAGTCTTCTCTCCGGTGGAAGCAAGAGTTCCACCCGAGTCCTATCGGCTCAGAGAGCTACGGAAGAATGCCGAGTTAAGATCAATTCCCTTCGGGGCCTCTTTTCCCATACCTGCTTTCCTGAGCTGTTTATACCTCTTACGGGCGATATACGCTCGCATGTGCGCCTGTATGAGCGTGACGGGCTCACTGAGGTTCTTCATCTTGCCCGGCACGGTCTCAATGAACTTGTTAATTTTACTTTTCCAACTTCTCGAGCTCAAGGAGTCATGTTGTGCCACTACCGAGAACATGATCACGCCAGCGTAAACTGGGAGAACCACTCCTGAGATTCCGGAACGTTCAGCCTCTCCGCCAAATGCACTTTCCTCTGTCACAATACATGGGAACCGGCACCGAGGTTTTCACTTATATTCATTATTCGATCACTCAATTCTACACACCACCACTCCAGAAGCCGCTGCGTACTGCAAGCACTACAACGGAAGCAGCCCTCTCACCCTCGGCAGGGCGGGCCTTCGAGAAGAAAAAGAAAGTCCCAAGATTGCTCTCATGACATCATAGATGGCAAGTTCGTTCAATCGAAGGAGGTTTCCACATTTATTAGATTTTCTCGAGCACCCCGGAGCTATCTCTAGGATCCGCTGATAATTTACACGCTTTCAACGCGGATAAAAAATAAAATCGTTCTCTCTCGCAACCCGCAGTGCAGAGCTGACTCCCACCTACCTTGCGACAGTTCACTGATTTTTATTCGGTTCACCAAAAATCCCACTTCTGGTCACAGTTCCGCACCGGCACTTATGTTCAGGGGGAGGTCGTAAGAGCGGTGTAGATGGACGCAGGAAGATGTTCCGAATCATCATATGGGATAATTGCATGCCAAAAGCGCTGCTGCCGTTGACAGATTTTCGTACACCGGGTGGATATTCGCAAATTACCTCTCCGCTGTGGACTGCGCGCCGATGTTAGACGATCGAATTCGAAGTGGATTAGGAATGTTCGAGCGTCGCTATCAGAGTTCGAAACTTGGCTCAAACTCGGGGGGCCCTTGAGGAAGTTTAAGAACATTTCATTTCCCCGCGATACCGGTCGGTGTCGGCAAGGAGAAACAGGCGCCGTTCCCATTCGGCTAACATTGGGGGTAAGATAGCGATCTTTCATGAAGTGCGCGAGAGATCGAGAGTCGCTTTCTGAAGAGATCGCCTGAATTTTTAGCGTGATGGAGAAGGTCTCGATGGATCGAATCCAGGCTCCAATCAATTTTACGCGTCCCATTGTTCCGAAGCTGTCTGAGCCAGAATGTTGAGAAACGCTCAACGGAAGAGCATGCGACATTCATTACTCATGCTAGTGATCGATATTCATCGGCACGTCTGCCGTGTCGGCTTGTTATCTCAAGCACACGAAAGATGTTGGTGAGTAAGACGCTTCCTATCCGCGTCGTTTGAGTCAGTCGATCGAATACAAAATACCGAACTCACTCAGTCAACCTAGAAAATATCGCGCGGGTTGGTGAGTCAGGAGCGACTGGGTGAATCGTTCATTTTACAGTATGGTCCGGCATATCCTCCGGGTTGAACTTTTCTCGTCTAATTAACTCGGTGCTCACAGATTCCAGCTTCTACGACCCACAGTGTGGCCAAACCCTATTCTAGGCGGCAGAAATTATTTCTGTGAGTTTTTTGGATTAGGTATTCTCGTGGTACGAACTCGTAACAGTCATCGAAGGAAATATCTGGCTCTCTGGCTTCTCATGAATAACCACGTGAGCTTTCTATCTGCTCGCGACTGAGGGTAGAACATGGCTCCCATGCCTCATACTTGGGGAGCACGCCGTGTCGCATCGAGATGGGGGGCTTTCCTTCAATCTCTCCGTTCAATGGAGCTCTATTGAACCTTTATTCATCGTCCTGCGTCGAAACGGGGCAGAGAAGAGGTGAAGAAAGAGTTCTTAGCCGGAAATTTGGACGACATGATGTTTCTTGATCGGACAATACTGTATACATGGTACCGCTTGCGATACCGGGGCCTTCATTACGAACAGTGTAGTGCACGATGAAATCGAAGTTTTTGACTTCGAGCCATTCAGCTTCTTCTCCGAAGAACCGTTCCGCTTTCGAGTTATGTCCCCCGACTTTTTCCCTCACTCGGGACACATGCCTGCTGATCTAATTTCTGATCTGTGATCGGTTGCTTAGTTGCTCAATTTCAACATGAGCATGACTCAAAATGAGTCTTTCCAACCCATCGATGCACTCGTTCCAGGGCACCCAAATTCGAATATCTGAAAACAGCACGCATTCACGTTCGCCCAAACTTGCTGTTTTTTTTTGGAAATGGAAAGAGGGAGGGTGAAAGGAGATTTTCCACCCCATGAGCCGCCCGGGTCCGCCCTGGTCCGTATACTTTTTTGACGGTGAGGTTTCATGAAAATCAGGCTTTTTCCGCAAAAAAAGATGCACTCAGAAAAACTTCTAATTTGCATATTCGCTTCGAATGAACCGCTAAACGTGGAGTTTCAGACTCAATCCTACTCACGATTCGGTGTTTGCTCCATCCTGAATCGATTCCACGGAAACTCGAGCGTCAGCACGAGTCGGAAGAAAAAATAGACAGTCCGGAGCAAAAAAAACTTCCTCTTTCCAGAGTCTCTCCACAGGGATACAAGTGCTTGGTTTCGGATTGGTGTGTGTTTCCGAGGTCCCCATACGTCCCCCAAGACGCCACGATATGAATTTTTGAATTTTTCCTTTTTAATTCCCGCCGCCTAAAATCGGGTTTGGCCACACTGTGCGACCTCTGATTGGGCCTCTCGAGTGGACTTTCCATGTCAAAATATGTAAATCCTTCGTTACGCTGGATTAATATGAAAATGATAATAATGATACAGTCAAGTGCCGCTAAGTTGGAGCTCCTATAAGTTGGAAAACTCCTCTAACTTATAATTTAGAGTCGCTTTTCTCATGGTTTGCTAAGTAAAAGCATAGACCCCGTGTTGACTCTCTCCTCTAACTTATAAAACCTCCTCTAACTCATAATTTGGAACGATTTCGCCGCCCTAAGTTGTAAAGCGCGGAAAAATGTCGAGAATCGCAGCCCATGGACCAGGGCATCATTTGTAACGTGAAACAGTTGTACAAAAAAATCTGGTCGAACATTACTGGGCCATGGCACAGGACGGTCAAGTGAAGGAAATAAATTTGCTCCAGGGTATCCGGTTCCTGAGAGAGTCATGGGACGATGTCAAAACTTCCACCATATTCAAGTGCTTCAAGAAATGCCTCCCGAACGTTCGGAATGCCAGCGCTCAAAGTGAGAACAGCGATGACATAGACGAGCCGGATCGAATGATTATCCGAGACTGTTTCCCCATTTCCATGACTTTCGGGGACTTCGTCCAGGCTGATCGGCAACTTGTGACTTCCGATGATTTCGAGCCTGAACACAATGAGGTCCTCAGCGAAACCTCGGATGAAGAACCCGAGTCCCCCTTCGAGGAGCCCAGTTGTGGTTTGGTGACCGGCCAAGAGGCTCTCCGAGCCTTGGCTACATTGGTCAACCATTGCTCTCAGAGACAAAATATTGTTCCAGGGATCAGCATGGCTCTACATCAGTATCGAGATCTTGTTATTTGTGACATTCTACAGGAAAAAAGACAGGCAGATCTTCGATATTATTTTTCGAAATCGAAGCCCTAGTTGTTTGGTTGTATTTTGAAGACGAGAATCGTATTGATGGGGACTGACTTCGTTCGGAACGGTAGATAGTAGAGACTGAGTACGATACATAGTCAGGACTCTCCATAAGTTAAAAAACGTAAATCCGCATGGAGAAGATGGAATAAATTAAAGCAGATATCCGTTCATGATCACTATCGTCAATTTTATGCCTGCATTCATGGGGGCAGATAATAATCAGCGCGCATCTGTCCGAATTAATCCGGTCTAGATAGACCCTCCCCTAACTTATAAGTTAGAAAAAATATTCAAACCCTACTCCCGAATTTTACAAGTTAGCGGCACTTGACTGTAAATGATAACAATAATAATAGCTTCTTCAATGCAAAAAGGATTAAGCATGCGCAAATTCGCAGCTGATGGGGGGAATCTCTCCCAGTCCCCACAGAGCTAGATGGCACTCGCTTGAGCCGCTGCTTCAAAAGGAGGCTCTGCAAAACGACGCATATTTCATGAGAAACCGCGGTGATTGACTGCGCTCATCCGCTATATTTCATGGAGTCTCATGTTGGAGAAAAACCGTAATAGCGGCTAATAAGGTTGGTCCGCGGTTGCAAAGCCTGGTCTTGAGCTGTGATACAAATGTCCCTCGCGTTTACGCAATCCATTGTTTTCATGATTTAAGTTTATATTGCATGGGCGGGAAGGAAGAGCTGCCAGAGCCCACGATGTCCCGCGGACGCATCTATCGAACCGCACGCCTGGTGTCGCAGAAAATGTCCCGAGATATCGCCAAGAGGAGTATATCCGCCTCCCGATCGTTGTCGATGTCTACACTGAACGAGAAGTAAGCAGTCGATGTTCGCTGCTTGGATCGTACGTCACCGCATGACTGGACCTGTTCTCCCACGCGGGCAAGTGTGAGGGAGGAACAGCTCTGGAACGATCTGTGTGGAGTCAGTGCTGCTTCGGAAACTCCCACTCAGCGGAGCGTCTTTTCTGAATGTCGTATTTTCTGACTCCGCGTTACATTGTACTTCGATGGATCTGAGCTCGGAACCCCTCTCGATTAGGTACCCTTGGTGACAGGAACCCCCCAGAGCAGTGGTTCCCAACATTTTTCTTCGACGGAACCCCTAGGGGTTCCGTAGGGGTTCCGTAGGGGTTCCGCAGGTAGACTTTGGGGTTCCGCGCAATCCGCCACGTAACCCAAGGGTTCCGCGGAACCCAGGTTGGGAAACACTGCCCCAGAGCATTCGGAGCGGTGTTGGATTCATAATCATGGTTGTTCCGATGTCCGTCAAAAAAACATGAGATGACTGTGGATCCTAGAGCGGAGGCTCCCATCGAGCATCCCTGAGTGCAATGTGATTCAGCAGAGAATCTGAGACCGCGAAATAATATTCGACTGCCCCGGAGATCGAAGGACCGAAATCGGCATCGTAGCGAAACCTTCACTTTTGACATTTTCATTGACTTTTGTCCGAGCGCCCCTGTCATCACACTGCTTTGAGTCGGTGCTGAATCTGTTCTCGTCGATGGGCTGCATCCTCGACAATTTCAGTATTCAGAGTGCCTTTGATGCTCGCGTCGATCTCCTCAAGTTTCGCCGCGATCGATTGGAATCACGGTAATCGAAATCATGGTTGTTGACTCACTAGCTGATTGTGCGCCACCAAAGATCATGACTCAGATCGACTATGGTTCGCGTCCACGGTTTCACGGACTCCTTCTACAGAATCCGATATGAGATGGAGGAG